TATTGATATAAAATATTAAATAATTCGTAAACTATTAATTTTTTGATAATCGTACCTTAATACTTTTATGAACAGAATAATAAGATGAATCAATTGGTGAAAAAAAAAACACATAGTTGCTTTAAAAAAATATGTATGCAAAATGGATAATTTTTTAAATAAGCAACTATGTGTTTTTTTTCCAATCATCATTTTCCAAATATCAATATGTGCCACAATGAAATATAAAATATCTCGTAAACTATTGGTTTCTTGATATCGCTACTTTAATACTTTTATATGCAGAATAATTAGAGGAATCATATTATGTAAAAAAATTCATATAATTACATTTAAAAAAATGACCTTGACCTTCAAATGACCTTGAAAATTGACCTGAAGGTCAAAACTGTTAGCACAGTTAGATGTCCCTCGTTGTCGTCTACAAATTTTGTCTAAACAATTTTTTTGTATCTGGCGTATTTTTGGAGATATTTGGATCTGTCACTTAAAATGACTCACCCTGTATATTGCATTTGACATAAGAATTAAAATAATTAAAAAAACATCGAATGAATCATTTAAAATAACTTTAACACTTTTTATATAATGAAGGCTTTTATTTAGTATAAAATATTCTTATATTTTTAAAGATATACTCGTAAATCAAAATCATTACTTTTATAATATTTATTATAACAAAAATGATATTTATTAAAAGCGTTTTTTTCAAATGTATTTTTTGAGATGACAATATTGCAGATAATATATTAAGTTTTTGGCTGAGATAATGAATAGAAATAATCAAATTTTAAATGCTGGTGTAGAATAAATTAGCACATTAATACTTTACAATTTTACTTTCTTATTACTTGATAACCTCTCCTGACCGTGTTTCACGACCTACTGACGCCGAACACCGCTCATTCTATTCGGTAGCTTCCCCTCTTCAATGCTGTGTTGCCAGCTCGCTCATACATCGACCTTACTAAGCGTAAAATACAAACGGAACTTATTTTCTGGATACCCCTCGTAGTAAATTTAATTTTCTTTTTTCGTTTTCTCAACTTTGCAGCAGCAAGTGTTTTATTCATCTCATTAACCCTGATATAACTTAGAGTCCTAATTAAACATAATATCGCCTCTTTCGGAACATCGGCGTGTAATTTTGATGATACTAAATTTTCTAACATTTTGAAAATTCCTTTTTCTTTGCGCAGAGTTGTACCGTGTAATTTTTCGAATTCCGTATTTATCATTCTAGCACTTTGCAACCATATTTCCAACAGATACATACATTTTCCGCGTGAAATAAATTCAAGCCAACTTATATCGCTCGGAACAATCATATGTCTCGTTTCTATACCTAGTATACTATATTTGTTTTTAAACCGGAATGCAACGTACCCTGCCACATATTTTAACGCCTCTTCTTCCATGATATAGCTTATATCTAACTTATCTAATGATAACAATAGCTGTTCTTCTTCATAAGTTAAAGAAAAAGGGCATTGATCGAACGAGATACAATTATTATTTTCGCATACGCACAATTCATGGCAGCAATGCATAGATTCTTCATTAGTTTCTTCCCTATTACCTAACGCCGCTTGCATATTTATTAACAAAGATTCATCGAAATCAAAAGAAGAATTGTTAATTTCTTGAACATTTGATTTTGATGACAACAATTCATTTGAATGTTTACCTAAAATATAGCGCTTTAAACGAAATTTGAAGTCTAGGGCATTCGGGTGATCGTTAGTGGCTCCCAATGATCGGATGAAAGAAAACAGATGTTCTAGCAAATCTTGATTCAAGCGGTATGTGGTTATGTACAAAATATTGCAACCTTCATATTTCTCCTGTAGGTACAGAAATAATTGTTGCAAAGAAGCATTGCTTACGCAAATTCCTTTTTGAAAGTTCAACATACTCTTATGCTTTCCAATTCGGCATTCGCTTATAAATGTTGTCACTTGATCCAATATTTCATTCTGTTTCTGAATATGCATACCGTAAGCACATTTCCCTTCGACTTTATGAAACTTGGATTTAGCATTGAATATGTCGAACCAGTCATTGCAGAGCTGAATAAACGCAGCAGTATCTTCATTAAACTCAATATTGTGCAAAAAGCCTTTTTTAGAGCACCATCTAATTGCATGTGCTGTTGTGTTTGACAATACCTGTGCAGCAGGCAAAACCTTTTGCCTGTCTGAACCTTGTACAGTCAAATGATCATTTGTAATTTTGTACGCTATTTTTAAATCTTTTGAGTTTAAGGATATCAATTTCTGCAAAACTAGGCTTTCTATTTTTTTCCCTTTCCAATAGAAACCATCATCCAAAAAATGGTTTCTTAGCAACTTTAACAGATGAGGAATATCTGCAAACACAAATATTTTCAGTTCATCGCAAACTGGATGTTGAAAATAACATTTTTTAGGGTGAATGCCAATTTCTAATTCTGACCATAATTTCATATTCCCTGGTCCCATGTCACACGTTAAAGCTACAACAGTATATCCAGAATCATGTAGTTTTGAAATAATTTTGAAAAGAATGTTTACATCCATTGATTTATTATACTGATAATAAATAGGCTGTTTCCAACTTGAAAAAAGACTACGAACCATTACGCATTGACAGGTTTTATGAGGACCAATGACTTGTTCCATTTTCCGATCAATGCTTATTTTATGATTTAAATACATTTCGTCAAATGCAAGCATTACTAATTTTTCAATATCAGGTATGTGTTTACTCCTAGTTCTCATCACATCAAGAACAACAGAAAGAATACCAGGCTCAATATGAATTTTGTTAGCCCACCTTCGAAGTGTTTACAATCCAGGAAGAGGTATTTTCATGACATTTTTTACGTATCGATATCCCTTTGGGCTCGTACACCGTAACGATATCGCATTCGCAATATCTTCAGAAGACCATTTGATTTTATTCATTGATGGATTTAACAGAAGTCGGATCTGTCCTGGAATCAAAAATTTTCCTAACAGTTCATGCATTCTGTTTTTGAAGCGTTGATCTTCTGTTTTTACTTTCTGCTCAAGTTCATTTAATTTTGCCTTAATTGCAGCGT